AGTTTATTCCTGGGTTGCGGAGTCATTCAGATGTTCCAGTTTTCGAATGTGGTTCTTGTTCAGTTCTTGACCAGAAGTGTCTAATGAAGTAAGTCAGACAAGCAAACTCTTCCTTTAATGCTGATATAAGTCGTCTCAATCCCAGAAATTATGAATGATGACCCAGTGAAAAAAGTGCAGAAATCGACCGAAAATAACAAAAACTAAAAACAGTTAAAAAGTGACAAGATTCAAACACAAGGAAAATTAATAACTTAGAGCGTAATAAGCAATATCTCCAAACGGAGTTTTCTGAGAGGGTGAGAGGTTCTTTAATTAGAGCTAATGATAAAATGAGACCCACTAAAGGTACTAAATTAACCGGACTGCTAGCAAGGAATCGAGAGTGGAAATAAAAATAAAAGCGGAATAAATTTTAAGATAATGAAACAGAAACTGAAAGCTAAAATATATACCGTTCTAGAATGCCTCCGCAAACTATTGCTCCTTTGTAAAGCACGTGTTAGTAAGTGTAGTAAAAAGATAAAAATAATAAAGCTATAAAAATGAACGGAGCGTTGAAAATCTGAGAGGGTGAGACTGAGAGGTTCTTTAATTAATAACTTAGAGCGTAATAAGGAATATGAATATCTCCAAACGGAGTTTTCTGAGAGGGTGAGAGGTTCTTTAATTAGAGCTAATGATAAAATGAGACCCACTAAAGGTACTAAATTAACCGGACTGCTAGCAAGGAATCGAGAGTGGAAATAAAAATAAAAGCGGAATAAATTTTAAGATAATGAAACAGAAACTGAAAGCTAAAATATATACCGTTCTAGAATGCCTCCGCAAACTATTGCTCCTTTGTAAAGCACGTGTTAGTAAGTGTAGTAAAAAGATAAAAATAATAAAGCTATAAAAATGAACGGAGCGTTGAAAATCTGAGAGGGTGAGACTGAGAGGTTCTTTAATTAATAACTTAGAGCGTAATAAGGAATATGAATATCTCCAAACGGAGTTTTCTGAGAGGGTGAGAGGTTCTTTAATTAGAGCTAATGATAAAATGAGACCCACTAAAGGTACTAAATTAACCGGACTGCTAGCAAGGAATCGAGAGTGGAAATAAAAATAAAAGCGGAATAAATTTTAAGATAAATCCTTGTCACTTGTTAACTAATGAGCAATACCATTAGTGTCGTTTGTTTTGGTAACCATAGTGTCGCCCTGGTTACGCAGCATGACGTCACAATCCTGAGACCGTGACGTCACGTTTTATGTATTAGCTGAAGAGTGTGCCACTAGACCCAGGTGGCTGATTTGGTTCCGATAATCTAACCACGTGACCGAGTGACCTGAGTGTCTGTTCCATTAAGTTTTAATCTAGTTTCTTACTTTCAACTCTTGTAATGTAGTAATGAGAGTTTTCTGGTTTTAATTTGTGGCGGGTGGGCCCATCTGGCATGTTTTTAACTGAACAGTGAAGTGTTTATTGCATTACTTTCACGTTTTGCTACTTTTCTAATGTTTTATAATTCAGTCTGGTTTAGGACTTTGTTATTTCAACGTTGTTTCTATATAGCTGTTATCTCTTTACACGGTTTGTCATCTCTCAGTTGTAATATTTGTTTTACTTTGAATGACTTTAGCAGGTTTCATATTTCAAAAGTTGAAGATTAAAATCCTGGCGAAACATCACATGATTGAAGCTTAATTGTAGATTCGGGAGTGGTTGACTATAATAATCTTTACCATAAATTGGCAAATTAGTAAAATATCAACCGACGTCTTGTAGAATTTTCTATAAAGAGGGTGGTACAAAACCATCAATTAAACCACTTACCACCGACCGATATAAAAAAACCTTTACAATTCGGCTTCCTCATAGTTTTGTCGGCACTATACCGAAAAAACCAGCCCCTTAACTCTTACCGTTTTCTTGGTTAAGCCGCTCGGAAATTACACGCGTACAGACAGACAGACACACACACACATTCTGAGATTATTGTTTAAGATTTATTATTTGATAAATACCTTAGGAACGACAAATTTAGTCTACCATAAATTTAGTCAAACTTTTGACTAAAATTGTTGTAAACCAAATTTCATGAGACTAAATTTTTCGGCGACTAATTTTAAAGGAGACCAAAATGTTAGTAGAGCATAATATATGACATGTATGCATATTGAATATTATTAAGCTTACATTGTTTATAGGGCTTTGTGTGTACTGCACAAAACCGTACCAAATTCCCATTGCACTAAAGGGTTAGAGCTCCTCTTGGACATTACATTTTTATTCGATCCATCCCAATTCCCAATGCATGCTCTGTTGAAACGGACGAAGGATCATATCGACATAAACTACGTCGTACCGACAGAAATGGTAAAGTCGAAAAAGGGTGAAAAAGAAACTGAACAGTGTACTGAAGAACTTAGTGATTCTGAGTCATAAACTCTAGATCTGATGTTATTGAAATTCCTGAGTAATGCAATGCAGACGGGGTAGACTAAATTTGTCGTTCTTAAGGTAAATGTAATGGAAAATGGTCTCGAAAAGTCGAAAAGTGTGACTAAAATTGTTGCTGACTAAAAATTTGCGAAATTTGTGACTAAAATTATGGTAACCAAAATTATGGTAACCAAATTTATTGTGAACCAAATTTATTGGCCCTAAGGTAGTCGAAATTTATGAGTTATATCTCACTCATCTCACAGATTTTATCACTCCTGATAAAATAACATTTATTTGGATTTTCCCTGGCCTTCCTCTTCAATTTAAGTGTACCATGATGTGCTCAGAGTTGTATAGCACCAAACATACAATAGCAGCTATACCATAGATGAATTTTAATTATGGTACTCTTCAAATATATGTATTTGACACGTCATTAACTTAAAGTCATTGACTTAAAGTTCTTCAACAACGGTCGAATTATATTAATATTATTCTAGATTCTCGACACAGTTGTGCTGTAATACATTATTGGCATAACTCATAGTGGCTGACTCATTTGCTTCAGTTTGGTTTAGAATTTGAGGCTTTCCTCTTATCCCTTATCATGTTACACCGTTTTTTAATCGTATCAAAAACCCTAAACCTATTCTCAAAGGAGTGGGAATTTATCCGCCTCGCTGTGTCCTACGCCTTAATTAACTGCACAGCAGCCCTGATGGCGTTCATTACCCTTATATTCGCTGGACACATCAGCCCGGCTCATCTCACCGGAGTGGGACTCGCTAACACTCTCTTTAACTTGATAGTTGCCCCGATATCTGCTGGATTCGCATCCGTCCTCGATACTTACGGTCCTCAGGTGCATGGTTCTAAGGGTGAGCTTCGGACGGTGTTTTTAAAATGTCTATTCCAGGGTTGGCTCTTGCTCCTCTTCGTTCTGGGTCCGTACTTAAATGTTGTGTTCATCATAGATCTTCTGCCGGACCCTACGCTGCAACTTGATGATACGTCAGTTGACGAGTTGTCCATTGGTGGCGAGGACAGCTACCGAGATATTGCAGTGAAATATCTCAGGATAACCATCCTTATGGAGTTTTTTGATTTCACCTTTGCAATGATCTGCAGGTATTTCGCTATGCAGGAGCAGACGAAGTTTGTTTCCGTCGTTTCCATGGTGATGGTGTCGTTTCACCTCCTTGCTAACTATGTCAGATCATGGTCGTTGTGATGAAATTTGGTTTGGATGGGCTTGGATTAGCAGCTATTTTCAGCAGAATATTGTCTTTGGCCGTTTGCTTAAAGTTAACAATATGCTTCCGTTATCTTGGAATGGGATCAGCACCCGCACTCTCCAAGGCTGGAAACCTATGCTAAAACTAGGTCTATTTGGTGCGCTCAACGTGTTTGCTGAACTGGCTCTATTCGAGATATCAACCTTCTGCAGCCAGTTCGATGGAGCCACAGCTTTCTCAGTCGTCATTATCGTGCACCAACTGGTGACCATCTGGTGGTCAATAGCTCTAGGGATGTCAGAAGCAGCTGCCACCCCCATCGGAAAAGCTCTGGGTGAGGGAGACGCTGTAAAAACAAAGCTGTGCATGAAGTTGACAGTGGTGAACTCTGTGTTAGGGTCGAGTGTGCTTGCTGTGGCGTCCTATTGTTTAATGAGCTACCAGGTTGCGTTATTCTCATCAGATAACGATGTAAAGGGTATGTTCATGACCACTTTCTGGATTATATGTCTTGGCATTCCTGTTGATCATATTCAGACCGTCTTAAATCAAGGTATACTTGTTGCATTTGGGGCACAAGATTTCACCTGCTGTACAATGAGTATATCCTGCTACTTTATAGGCCTCCCAATCATGCTGGGGACCATCTTCTTAACTGATATGAAGGTTGCCGGAGTCTCTATTGGGCTGGTTACAGCGGCTGCGGTCATGTTGATATCCGCTGTGCTGAAGATTTGGACGGTGAACATTGAAACAGAGATAGGGAAATCTAGAGAAAGAGTAGCTTCGGTTGAAAACGTTGGAGGGGCGGAAAGGCAACCCCTTCTGCTCGAAGATCAAGACGATGGTACCTTTGTGATGGAATTAGATATTATATTGCCGAACGGAAGTGCAGATCGCTCACCTGAGCCATGTGAGGATAACAACAAAAAGGAAATATCACGCGTTTTTCTTGCGATTGCTTGCGCAGGGTTAGTTTTTGTAACTCTTGCTGGGGTCTCCCTGACCAGGAAATCAAAATAAGAATTTGGCCTCCATTCCTGAGTGATCCTCAAGAGTTTTTTTTTTCTTTAATCTACTTTTCAATTAACTTATAAACAACAAAAAACTTAAATTTTACTTATGGTGAGTTTCGGTTCTATTCTCGACATTAGTCATTTTAAAAACCTCTATATATCATTCCAATTAGCTACTGTTTTTCTTGTCAATAACATTATCTATCATAAGCTCATAAGGTAACGGTTTTCTGAATTCAAACTCGATTTCATTAATAAGTTCACGTCCATGTTAAAAAATCATGGCAATTAATATTAATTATGATACTCTTGAATTGTTTAGATAATCCTTGCATCATTAACCACGACGGTGGAATTCTTCTGAAGTGCGGCTACATTAATAGGATTAATAACTACTGAGTCTCTGGTGCTCCTCATGCTTACAGTAGATATGCGAGTAGAATTTCTACTCGCATATCTACCAGAAACATCCCGGTCTCTTATCTCTATGTGCTTGCCCATCACCCACAACACTTTGTTATCAACATAAGTCTTGAAACTCTTGATGTTGAAGTAGAATATGATAGGATTTGAGAAGGGTGATATAAAAGTTGCTACAGCAGCTACTGTATAGAGTCTGAGGTTGTTCACCGTCATCGGTTGTTTCCTGTGCGGAAAATGATGCTGTTTGAAAACAATAGCGTAGTAAATGTTATATCACGTAAATATAAGTCTGATTTCCGGCTTACACACGTAATTTATAAAGTTGCAGATAAATCTTATAGCCAATCACTATGGATAACAACTAAATGAACTAACCTTAAAACTGCAAAGATGATGAAGGGAAGGTAGGAGAGGATGTAAGCGATGGAGACAGCTAGAAGAACCAACACGATATGTCTGGTTAGTTTCCGAACACTTCTTATGAGCAGCATTAGCCAGATCGCTGTTGCTAGGATCACACCAAGTGGTACTAAGAGGTTGCTGTAGAGGGTGGCTTGCTCGAGCAGGTTCGGGGGGATGAACCTGTAGTCCAAGGTGCACGCGAAGACCAGCGGGCTGAACGTGATGTCTCGTGAGGCTACCACATTACTAGTTACGATCAAGATGATGACGATAACCCACAATGTGGCCGATATGACAGCGCCGCACTTTTTCGTTCTCAGTCTGGCTCGTAGTGGAAATAACAAAACTGTCAGCTTGCTGATGTTGAGACTGGCTATCAGGTAGGTGCTCATGAAGCCCAGGATATACAGAGCGTATGTAGTCACCACACACAGCCCCCTCCCGTAGATCCACTCCTGTTCCACTGTAGATCCTACTGTAGGCAGGATGATGAAGACCGTGAAACCAACGCCTGTAACAGCTAGGTTCTGTATCAGGACAACTGAGACTTTGTCTAGTTTGAGGACAGAGACTAGCGATGAGATGAGGAGAGCGAGGTTACCAAAGAGGGAGAAGATACCCGTCACCAAACACCATGTTATCAGACAATATCTACCGTAATCTGGTACGCTGTATGGATCCAATCGGTTATCTTTAGTTTCTGTATCCATAATTTACTCAACCTTGAATGAAATTACAAATAAGTTACTTTACGTCATAGGCTTTAAACTTTTAAAAGCCAGATGTATTATGTCAGATTTAAAACAAGGAAATTGGCGCTTGATATTATATAACGAGTAATGGAGGAGGGTCACAAAATTATCGTGTCCCGGTGCACTCACAAGTGGTTAATAGTAATAACTTGTCAATTTTATATTATATATGAATTTATAACTGCACGGTACCTTTGAGTCAACTGTTTATAAGTGCGTTGATACATAAGTTAAGCAGACGTATGGTCCTTATTTCCAAGAATTGAGACAGTTGTTCAATAACACTGTTCAATAATTCTATAAACATGGCGATATGCAGTGTGACTAACCTGCTAAAATAAAGTAGAGTTGTCTGATTATTATGTTAATAAGCCTAGTGGGCTACTCACTAAAATAATAGTAATATACTGGTTATAATAAGTATATGTTATCAAGGGATGACTTTGTACGTTGAAACAATTCATGGAACACGAGAATCTATGACTATAGTACTAAAAAAAATCGTCGCGCAACTATAAATCATCGATGCACCTGCACGACAAGTAAAAGAAATTTCAAATCGGGAGCAGTGTATATAGTCTATACTATTATAATAGTCTATACTTTTTTTAATTTTTATTAAGACACTTATTTTACTTCGGTGTATTCCTGATTCCAACAGCCATATTGTTACACAAGTGCAACCAGCCAATTACAGGAAGCCTAAGGATTTATTTGGCCAGTGACGGTTAAGGTCTCTCTCTCTCTCTGTTTTGGTCAACGGTTTCTGGCCTCCTAGTGAAGAGGGAGGCCTTCTCGCCGACGGTTAAGGTAGTGTGTACCATACTTTCTTCGCCCGGGACTTTGCTGCAATGTGCAGCTCCTCATTTAACCCTCACACTCGATTTCTCGAGTATTCGGCTGAGTAGACCGGGGGTTGCATGTACCACTCAGGGTCCTTAGCTGAACGTCAACGACGCTCACCCCACGACCAGGTAGACAGTGGGATTTGAACCCGCAACCTCACGATTGCAAAGCTGGCGTTCTAACCAACTGCGCTACCTGGCCGATGAAGTCGAACTATTATCTTAAATGATTATTTACTATTGCGTAGACTCAAATAAGAGAATACACATGTGAAGTAACCAGAAAATGATCGAAATATACGTCATTAATCTCTCTTATACATAGCTTCATAGCAAAAGATATTATAATGTAGGCTGTAACCATTTAACACTGATATAACTACCAATCCGATGAACTGCTAGAGTCCCAATGTTTCATGGAGGGAGAACCACGCAGCTAGTCTTACAATTTACTCTTGGTAGTTTTAGAATAAAGCAAGGTAAAGCAACAGGTTAGGAGGGTTCGGACTTCTTAATATTTGCTGGGAGTACATACTTCACATTTATTAGGGTCGAATTTCGTACAGTTTGTAAGAAAGCTGATCTTTAGAATTAATATGAGGAAGTTGTATACGTCATCTATCTTATTGCTTATTGTCTAAGTTTAATTTTCTTATTCAAATATGTAACAATTCATTTATAGACATTAAACGATAAACATAGATAATAAAACAATAGTGATACTTTAACAATAAAGTGTCAGAAATAAGAAAAAAAACGAAGCTACGAGAAATAAAGATGTCCTCATAGTTGGGACAATATAAAAGTGGTTGCGTACAAAGATTGAAACATTGTAGTAAAAGTAAGAAACTATTCCAGTATATTTGAAGGATTGGCAAGATATTTTGGAATTTGAGGTCAAGGAAACAACAGAATAAAATAGCAATAGTATGGGTTAATGGTTATACTATAGAACCGATTTTATTTGATCAACAAAATGTAAACTTAAAGGAGACATGTAATTGGCACCACGATATAATTATCGGTTATCCTTTTGTAGTTTGGGTGTCATTGCTAACGACCCGAGCGGTCATTGCTAACGATCAGGGAGCATAAATACAGTTACGGTGTGCAGTTTACTAACAACACTAGATTCCAACTCACGAGCTACTGTACTCAGTACTGGCACTAAACAACGTTCTGTGACTACAACCTATGACCCCCCCCCCCCCCCCCAAGGAAAAAACTCAATAACTTATAATGACGGCAAGTTTCCGCAATCGGGATTTTCTGATTGTGATATTAACTTGCCCTTTTGACATGTTGAAATCCTCATTGTCTAAATTTCTTCAAGCCTCTACCGACACACCCATCAAACGTTGCATAAATTAAGAAATCAATATAACAGTAGTACTTATATAAGCGACAATTTTAACGTCATTAGAATTAAATAGTCGCATATAATTGAGCACTAAGGGTCGGTGAAAAAACAGTAAAAATAATAAAAGACCCGCATTTAAGTTAAGGTGTGTGTTGCATCACAAGCCAAATAGAATTAAATAGATCAAAAAGTTTTAGCACTAACTGTCGTTTAATATTTTATTCATTTAGCGTAATTACTAATTGTTTGTCATTCGCAGAGAACAGCAAATCAAATACTTAGCCTTAAACAATAACTACGGTATGTTTTAAACACGGTATGTTTTATTATTTAAAAAAAAGTATAGTACATATGATTTTAACTTATCAAGATTAGTGAGTAGCAGATTCTTATTCTTGTGAAATAACTTATCAATATAAAGAAAGGAATGTGCCATTACTATTAGAAGGCACGTGATGTTTTGACCTCACATCGAGAAATAATAAACCACATATTTTAACAGATTAAGCCCCCGGGCCCGATTCATTTTTTAACGTAGACACTTATTTTACTTAGGTTTATTCAAAAAGACATATGGTTGTAACCAGCTAATTACAGGAGCCTAATTAGGCGATCAATCTCATACTTCGCCCGGGGCTTCACTGCATTGAGCAGCTACTTATTTAACCCTCAATCAAACCAGCATGTATTGGTAATGTTCTCGATAATTCTAACAGTCTAAAAGATTATTGGTGGGTTTTTTGTTTCAATATTTGTTTATGGGTGGTTGAAACCGGTGATGTTATTTTGCGAATCCCACTTCTTTGGCAAACTTGTGAAAATTATTCAATATCAACGTTTACAATATCTACAAAATCAGAACCATCCCCACAGTGGTAATTAATTCGGTAATTTGCCAATGGACACTTAATTAACAGTTGTAGAGGCATGGATACAGAGATGATCCTGACGGATCCCAGATTGTCGTTGTTATTGAATCCTGCAACGCATATTCCTCCCCAGTTATCCAGCCTAACCTTCCTTCAGTCCCTAACCCAGAGTCCCTGGCCAGTGAACCTTAACTAGGATTACCAAATCATAAAATATTCGGTAATATTCGGTGTTTGGTGACTGAATATTCGATGATTCGGTAGACCTAATATATTCGGTGATTCGGTGTTCGGTTAACAGCCGGTCAGGATTGTGAAAGATAGCTTGGAGCAGGATTGAAGCGGTTGTTTATGAAGTAGTAAAAGTAGTAATTACCCGTCATAACTTGCACGTATTAATTAGCGGCTCCCCGTATGACGTAGTGCAGACCAGTGACCACGACAGATGTGTGAAACTGCTGCTGAAACATGATCCTCTATTATAGTGCCGTCTTCAGCTCTACTATCAACATCAGCCCTACTCCTAGCTTTGCTGATTAATAAGAACAGTTGCTGAGTTGCCAGTTGTCGGCGCTGTGTGTATCTGTACAACTGTAGGTTGGAAATGCACAGTTGCACACGTTTAGACACACAATTTATAGGTTATAACAGGACAAGCATAACATTACCCTCTCGTTTCAGGTAGAGAGTTTCTGCCTCATATCCTATTTCTAGGTTAACTTAATTGGTGTTTTACAGTTGCAACGTATTGTGTACTACAGTAGTTAGTTGTAATGTAAGAGCAGACTGTGTTAGCTCGCACAGTTACCATTTTCTTGTTGATGATGAACCAGGAGCTGTGGGTTGTTCAGGTTGAGAATTACCACGTGTTAGTTAATTGCACTGGTTTTGTGACAGGAAATAGTATTCTGAGGCTTGTTTGTTAGGTGTGGTGATGTAATATTTACACTGTTAACTCGTATAATTTACGATTACTATTTCCATGACTGTTAGGTGTCCGTACGTTTAGACCCGGGTATGTTGTATTGTAATTAACTTATTTTAATAAAGTTCACCATTGTTTTAAATTTCTTCACTTCCTTATCCTATACTTGTCTTATTACCTTATTAAGCTTACGATAACAGCCTCGTATGATATATTTGAGTATTTAGTGATCCACGCTGTTTACGAATTTCAGATCACGAGAAAATGTCCGTATAGTCCGTGACTTATTTATAGTTATTCAGTACAATTCAGTTTTAATCAGATTCGTTTCTTAATTTCTGCTCTACAAAAGTGCTTCAATTAATTGTATGTGCAATTTTTTCAATCGCTATTAAATTCTAAATCCTAAATTGTATTGATCACAGCATCACTCACGTCTAATACTTATCACGTGACTACCCCCCCCCCCCCAGATAGCTAGCTGGTAGATGACCAGTGTAAATATCCGGATGACGAGCACAGAGAACGGTAAGGAGCACGAGGACAGCCCGGAGGTGATCATAGTGAACCCAAGTGCTACTCAGGGCGCTATCCTCAAGGATGGCGCTGGCAGGAGGGTATCTCAGTATTTTGGAGGTTTGTTTTCAATCAACATTGACTTCCTTTTTTTATATTCAGCTCAAGGATTCCAAAGGTTGGGGAATTTGGGCGGAATAACATTCTGGAACAATATATAAAATGCGCCATTTAGACAAATAGAAATACTTGTTTTATACGCTAATCTAGCTGCGTATAATGCGATTACTTTATTAATTGCGCGAGGCTCAGCAGTTAGATTTGCGTATAACTCCACGCTTCTGGTGTTATAATCAGTGCGATTAGTTTATAATCGCACTGATGTTTTTGAGAGCACTGAGCAACTCAAAGAACAGTGCACCCCACCCTCCACTTCAACCTGAAACCTCCTCCGAGAAACGAAGTAACGTCTTCCGCCAACTCTCTCCCTGTCGGTCAAATACAGATAAAAAAGCAAACATACAAGTAGGATAACCGTCCGATGGTCATTGCTCCTGTTATGTGATTGGTCGGATCTGGTCACGTGACATAACTGATAACTCATCGATTTTTCTTGGAATGGACCAAGAATCGGCCCGTTCCTATCATCTGCAGTTGTGATGATTGTTTGAATGTTTTTCTTGCCTGCTATGTATTCCCTTAATTAAATATGTTTTCGTATTTAACTCTGCTCTTTACTCTTCCAATAAATATATTGTACATATTGATCTAGAGGTTTTCAAGATCTAGAGGTTTTCAACGTCTACCGAAATCTTGGATTTTCAGACCACCCGAGTATCATCCGTTAAATCACCTCTGAAAGCACACACGTTACTATCTTTAAAGTAAACAAATATGACTCACCTCCCCACCAGAATCCACATCTATACTGTGTTGTATTAATATATCACAGTATCTTTTAGAAAATCGGTGCGAGTTATACTTATAGTAGAAATTTAAGTCTTATCATTACATTCGGAGCCCAAAGAAAGCAGATCTTATCTTTTTTAAACATTTTTCTAGCTTATCTCTAACCACGAACGGCTGTATTTTCCATTCTGACCCAACTTTCCAGCTGCCGTAACCTAGTTGATGCCATTACTCTATTTAGTTATTACTCTAATTAGTAATAGTAATTACAGTACATAGCCCCTACTGTGGAACAAACAGCGAAGGCGTCCAGAGGAAAGCTGTTAGCCATGTGTTTGTACAAGAATAACAACCGATAGTTAACCTAGCCGTGTACAGATTACACATCATTACTCTCGGTAGCCCTGTTGTTCGCTATTCTTGACTATAACACACTCTATTTCTGGGGCAGTACCACCTGTCCACCGCCACACTGCCCCACAACGGACAACCTTGACGGCCACTTTCTCATTGTTTGTTAAATATTATTCTCTGATTATCTAAATACTCATGATCCAGCCCAGTCTGGTAACATAGTAGAACTAGCAGGTGTGGTGGGTTTGGTCACAAGTTTGTAACTAGAAAATGTTACATCTTTAAGTCACACTCTGCACCTGTGGTGGGCGGGTCTAACTGGATAGATTATTTTTCATGCGGTAGTCCGTGATATGTGTTGTCTTTTTGCTCTGTTTATTGGCTGTTCTTGTTACTTCGAGTTTAAGACTCTTTCTTACTTTATGGGACCGTAATTTAATGAAATTTTTATTCAGATTTCTTAATTTCGTAATTCCGTGATTTTTGTTCATGCTAATTATTTAGCAAGGAATTGACCGACGGGACAAAAATCGACTGCTATTGTAACTTTACTTTACATTACTATATCGTAACTTTACTTTACGTTACTATATCGTAACTTTACTTTACATTACTATATCGTAACTTTACTTTACATTACTATATCGTAACTTTACTTTACATTACTATATCTTAACTTTACTTTACATTACTATATCGTAACTTTACTTTACATTACTATATCGTAACTTTACTTTACATTACTATATCGTAACTTTACTTTACATTACTATATCGTAACTTTACTTTACATTACTATATCGTAACTTTACTTTACATTACTATATCTTAACTTTACTTTACATTACTATATCGTAACTTTACTTTACATTACTATATCGTAACTTTACTTTAAATTAATATATCTTAACTTTACTTTACATTGTCATTACTATATCGTAACTTTACTTTATATTAGAGAAAGTGTGCTTAAAGAGGTTACGATGACTAAAATTGTGGTGACCCCCGTTATTCCCACTCTCTACGGAATTGTTCCTGGTTTTCTAGGTAAAACACGTAATATTCATAGGAATTCCTCCCTATACAGGTACTACCGGAATTAACTGACGTGCAGTGTAGCACTATTTTACCGTTAGAAGCTAGTACTTAAATACATTTCGTTTCACAATTCTTCAAATTATATGGTTCCTAGTCTGTTGCTGACGTCAAGCTGAAACCCCATCCCACTTTGCCTCAAATAGAGTCAGGCCAGGCGACGTCTGGCAAACACCACTCATGTTAAAATCTTCCCGTATATACCACTACATCAAAGGTAAATATTGATCGTATTGTATTCAAGAGCAAATCGTGTAACGGGATATAATTTTGCCCATTACGGTTTCTAAAGTTTGATTAAACTTAAACTTGATTAAACGAAAGCAATAGTTGTAAATGTGAGGCTGAAATTATTGAACTGAAGATTATCTTCAAAAGTACTCACAAGAGTCGGTACTGTTACAAGTAAAGTCACACAACAATATAACACCACACATTAGTGTTCTGATGGAAGAGTGGCCAGCTGTTCAACAATACTGTATCCAGTTCACATTTTACCGGTTTCAACTAGTTGATCATCAGATCAGGACTCTGTGGGGCACCACTACAGTCACCAGGGTATAATCACCAGGGTATTATAATCATCATTAGCATTAGCAAGATCGTTTAAGCGTGACGAGGCCACTTAAAGCAATCCACAAATCAACACAACAAATAACCATTCATGACACTAACAATAAAGGATAAAGAGCCCCCGAACTAAAGAAAACCATTATCCCTGCTGCTGTCCTTGTGTCATGTTTTGACAGGCCTGCACAGAGGTAGTGAGGGTAGCAGGTGTGGTACCCTCCGTTTAGAGACAACAATTACCCACTCTCCGTTCCCCTGTAGCGTTGCTTTCTGCCATTTTCCTTGACTTGCTCTACTTCCAGTATCTTGAAACATGGCAGTCTTAGTGCGGGAGGTCAGCACCATCGACCCACTTACATGTTAGTCAGAGAACGTTGTTCAATGCTGCAACCATTACGGTTTATCTGTTAATCTTTCAGCATCATCAGATTGTTGTTCATGAAGAATATTGGAAATGATTGCAAAACTTTTGACTCGCGCTAAAATAGGAATCATCGAATTGATTCTAGGGGTTGAAAAACCAGGTCAAACATTCAAAAGGATTGTTCACATATTACGTAGGCTAATTCCAACCGTTTTAAATCTCTCTCCCCTCCCCCTAAGACATTTTATAGATAGCTATTAGTGTTGAGTAGAAATAACAAGCTTTCCCGAACACCCTCCCGCCCCAGACACACCAAACTGACACTCGGCCACAAGCATGCCAAAATCATCAAAAACCTCAACACTACACTCAGCAACAACAGACAAGACTACAGAACTACTTTTCACTTTCCCACCCACACCTCCCCCACCCTCCATCCCTGACACCACTCAATCACATATAAGCATTGTCCACCACATCACATTCAGCTGACGACGATTAACACATGTTTATTGAAAGCTTCTACAAGTTAAATCATCGTATCTCTTATATGTTTTTAACCCAACTCCACTCAGTACAGAACTGCAGTTCACCTCATCACGGGTCACTGCAGCCTAAATAAACACCTTCACACCATTTGCAAATCAAACACCAGTGCTTGTCCTATGTGCGGCGACGGAGAGGAAACTGTCTCACACTTCCTTGGACAGTGTCCGGCTATTGCCCAAATTAGAGGTCAATATTTCCAGGACTACTACCTCTGTCAATGACATATTCGACAACCAAAACATCACCACAATTGTCAATTTCGCAAACCGCACCAAACGCTTAATTGTGCCGGAAGAGCTGGATCAGACCGGGGTGACTTAAAGTATTATCTCATATGCTGTCTCGTCTCGTTTTACTCTTCCAATCCCAGCTGGCACTTAAGCGTATCATTTTGACTCATATCACTTCTTACACCATCCTCCACCGTTCACTCTGATTTCACCGGCAACCTTCTCCAGGGTTGCCACACCCCAGAGGTAGGCAGAGCATCTCAATGCTATCCTCTCGTGGGCTATCTTGGCCCAGCCTCTCTGAAAAAAAAAAAAAAAACCCTCCCGCCCCTAGTCTGGCCCACGTGATATGTGGACTATCATGTATGTGGCATTAGATTTAGAATTAGAATACATTTTAGATTTAAATTAATTCTTAAATTTAATTCTTTGTTGCTCTTTTTCCGTTAAATTCAAACACGCACCATGCATCTAGAGTAACAAATGGAAAAAATTAAGTCCCTCCAATCTATATACCCACCCAACATTATTATTAGGATACATTTACATTTCAGATAATACTAATTTAGTTTAATCTGCACGTGCTAATTTAGTTTTATCTGCACGTGCGATTGATCAGTATTCTCCGCAGATTACTCGTCCGTTGATCTGAGTTGGGACAAGGTGTCAGTAGATGTGCACGTGAAACGAGGGTTACTGTGCTTTCAGAAGGACCTGGGGAGAAAACAGTTACTCAATAATGGTAAGTTACAGCTCACTAAAAATATTTCTCGCAGAACGGTTTTGTCTTACGTTTTTCAGCGCTGTTTTGTCATGTTATATGTATTATCACGGCAGTTATATTCTTCACTCTTTCCAAAGATACTCAGTAAATTTGGAATTGTTCAAAACCTTGAAAATTATATTCGTGTGAGTTCTAGATTAAAAAGCCGATAGGTAAGACTATACGATAGGTTAGACTATACAACTATACAACTATAGACATTCATATAAAAACGCTTTTAGAAATGGATATTTTTACCCATTACTAAAGTGTATCGATTTGGAATTGGCGGTTTTTTAGGAACCGTCGATAAGGTCCTTTAATTCCTCTAAGTTTAATCGATTCTACGATCAAAAATACGTTAGTAAACAATATTCAGAGTTCCTAATGTTTCGAGTAGAAATGTCGCAACTCGCAATCTAATTTTTTATCAGGATCTCAACCGCCAATTATAAATGTTGCACTATAAGTATTTAATCTCGACTGCTTCCTACTAAACACCTGTCAGATCATGTGAGAAAGTTTAATAAAAGTATTTATAAGATCAAACAAATTTAGTAGACGTGACATCGAACCAAGATTTTTATCTTGACACGTGAAGAACGTGAGAAAAAGTTAAGAGGCTTTAAACGAAACTTGTACATTGCTCAAGAAACTTTTGGCATTTATATTATATTTAATTTTAAACAATATTGTAAGATGTCTGCCAACTATCAAATGTTGACAGCCTTTTTGCAATTTAGTTATTTCTGGCCAAACGTTTTATATTTCAGTAAGTGGCTACGCTAGGAGTGGTCAAATCTTAGCAATCATGGGTTCAAGGTGAGGAAATATAATCTGATTATTGATACTGTTTGACACTTCGGTAAACGAAAATAAATTTTATCTGATCGTATCGGAGTCAAATAAACTGAGGATTAGCATACACACCTGTCTGATTACTGCAAGGGATACAGTGAGCGCCGGAACAGTTTTGCTATCAAATTAATTATAAATTAGCCAGGGATACAAGTGAAGAAGTAATTTAGCTGGTCCTGTTACAATACAGACCAGAATAATAAGCTGCAACCCAAAATGAGTACCACATTTAAGAGTTAACATTTCAGTGGTAGTGGTAAGAGTACGCTGTTGAACGCCCTGGCTGGTCGGCCCATGAGAGACATGAGAGTTAAGGGTGAGATCTGTGCTAACGGACAGCAGCTGGGGAGGGACATTGCTCACATAGCGTCCTACATTCAGCAGGAGGACCTCTTTATTGGGACTCTCACTGTCAGGGAGACCCTGCTGTTTCAGGTTGGGGGTTTTACACTGTAAACTAAATGTTTATTTTAATGTACTAGCTGCTTATTTAGTAGTGGCCAAATCAGCCGTGCTGTATAGGGAGATTTTACAAATAAGTTTAGATAACCCTGAAATATTTGTTAAACAGATCCTTGTTAGACCAGAATTGCGTGAAATCTCAATAGATTTCAAGATTGAACTTATATAAAAGAATGAAATTATATGTTTGAATTAACAACTAAGAAAGATACTTGTATTGAGTCATAGCATTGAAATTTCTTAGATTTGACATAAATCTGTTTACAAAAAACATTTCGATATCAACAGAACACATAGCTTTTAAAAAGCTGTATACAAGGGGTCACTTAAGAAGTTGATATCTTAATTGGTCACTTAAATAATACTTATCACGATAAATTCAATAAATACAGCACATGTACATTAAAAACCATTTGGTAAAGTAATACTTCAGGAATATAGTTACTAATTGGATTGTGGTTCGTTGTAATGCGAACTTGGCAGACAAATAGGAATTCAAATTTAAAGTATTTGGTCCGAGCCTTAAATCTAACCTTCATCTAAAATAATTGTCGTTTAACTAAAACACCCTCATCTATTGAAACTGTTTCTCGCCTAAGTTAGATTCTAAATAACTGCAATCAGTACAATTCTGAATAACTTACAAAATCTGACGGTCTTAAGCCCTATATATGTTAGATAGGATAGTCATGTCAGTCCTCCGATATTCTGTCCGATATTCTATCTGATTGGTAAGTGCAAGGAGTGCTCCCAGATAAGTTATCGAATGGCACGAAGCCAGTCCGTTTTCTTAGTCTGTTGATAATCTGCTTGAGAATGGCGGAGCACCTGTTCTCACCTGGCGTCATGACATACTCCCTGAAGGAACTGTTAGTGGCTCCGTAGACCAGGGAGTTGGCGGCTATGTTGACAGTGAGGAAGGCTACAGTAAAGGAGTAGTACCAGTCAGGAGGGGTGTGCTTGGTAGCTATGAAGATGGTGAGGATGATGGTCGGGGTGTAGGAACAGACGAACAGCCAGCACACCAGGGAGATGGTGATGAAGGTGGAATGGTTGGAGCTTGAGTACTTCTTCTTTGGGGGAATTGTCTCAGTTCCTGGAGCTACGTAGAAAGAGCTCAGCTTCCTCATCATACTTGCTCCTTTCGTCAGACCAGGTGGGACTGATTTCTTCCTTACTACACGTGATTGTCTAGCTGCTATGGTGACAATCAGGATGTTGGTGACGATGATGACGATCATGGGGACAGCTAGGAAGAGCACACCGCCCATCACTGCGAGCTCAGGGGAAGCATGTCCGGTTATCTGAGTGAAGGAACATGACATGAACTGGGGCTCAAACCTTGCTCCTCCAGTGTGAAGCTGATATCCTCCTAACCCTAGAGATATAACGAAGAGGAGGAGGAGAAACCCCCGAGCATAAACGAGCTTGATACTGCGTCTTACGGCTCTGGGCTGCTTCAACATCCACAATCTGTAGCAGGAGATAGAGACCGTCAGGAATATCTCGTTAATATAGAGAGCTCTGGAGAAGAAGGCATTGAGAAGACACATGCCGGACCCCAGCACCCAACCCCCACTAACCAGGGTAACAAATACTGGGATTGCGTGGAAGATGGCTATGGCAATGTCCAGGAGTGCTAACGCTTCAACACATGCCACTGTTACCTTGTCAGTTTTTATAACCCCTCTTCCAAAGGAGCCACTCAGGATCACTCCGTTCCCCAGAACACATATAACGATGATGTGCACGTAGAATATGAGCAGTAATACCTTGGGTACGGGGTTGATGTCGAGTGCTGCGTCCATGTTGGTGACCATCTCCTCGTAGTACTGTATCATCCTACTGTAAGATGTTCGTTAGATTTTAGTTATTTTCATTAAACGACGGAAAGGTAAGATTAAATCTGCAGATCGGAGTCAAAATCACTGAATATATAGACGAATCCTTGTTCAATCATTTGAAAATCTATTTTTAGTCTGCCCTTAGAGCATAGGTCACATGACCCACCAGATTGAGGAATGAGGACCTTCTTAAATGTGACAGACTTATACAGAAAACAGGTTCCTTTGTCACGTTTTAGAACAACTTAAACGCCTGTAGAGCTGTAGCGAGACCTGCAAAATGAAAATAATCAGATTCCAGGAGCTGTGGTTCCAAACCACCAATCGTCATAGTTACCAAGTTACAGGACTTTTAATAAGAGAATTAAATATTTTATCTACTATTGCAACAAGATTAGCTAACAAGATTAATCAACAAGGCAGTATCTAGATTGCCCGACCCCTGTCCGCCAACCCAAGCTTCTGCGTTTTCTGCAACAAAAGGCATGCTGGTATGTCATGCGCTGCTCATGACGCTGTAGCTTCTTCAGACGCCGGAGGTCTTGCTAACTCCTCTGCTCATGCTCCTCGTGTCCGCTCCAAATGTAACAATTGCGTTGTTATGAATGTCCACCGAGAATCTTCAATCCTCGATGGGATTCTACATACTACTACAAAAAGATAACAAAGCTTTGTCCTGTGCATCAACTCCCGGACTCCATTCCATCAACTCCTCAAGACACGCTAGATAGAGACAACGCTAAACCCTTCACTAGCCCAACTACACAGCAAGGATCACAAACATCCTTGCTCCCACCACCTCCAGCCGATGTATTAGAGCCTAGTCCTCCAGTTGCAGTTGATCATCCCCCTTCTGCAAGCAGAGTAGGACCCATTCGGAGCAGACGGCGAACACAAATAGAAGCACAAATTCACGAGAAATACCCTATTATAGTGGAGGATGTTTACTCGGGCACATCCGTCAAAGCTTTGTTATCTTTTTTGTAGAAGTATGTAGAATCCCATCGAGGATTGAAGATTCTCGGTGGACATTCATAACAACGCAATTGTTACATTTGGAGCGGGCACGAGGAGCACAACCTAAGCCGGTGAATTGCGAACGAAAGTTTTAGTAACTTGTTATTCAATCGATCTTCAGTTGAAGATGAAACATTTCTGTAGGGTTTATCCGGAAATACATACTCGTTGGGAGTTTGACTCAGGATTAGATAATAGTACATATTTGACTGAGTTGGTTCTACGATATGGAACTTTAACACATTGACTGTAAATCCCTTAAAAGTTAAATCAAGCATACAACTTAGAGCAGTGATTTGAGAGCTGGTAAAATGGGATAAAAGCATTTGCTCTCTCTCTCTCTCTCTCTAACACTTTCAATACCATTTAGCCCTATTTATCCATTAGGAGTGAGTTACTGATAGACAAACTATATGTGGGACCCCTCTAACAAATGAACTATATTTGCGACACTATTTCTTACAAATGAACAACGGTAGAGCAAGCCAAAAACTCAGCATATCAAGAAACGAGATGGAATTCTGAGAATTCAGCATCCGTTAAGTACATTATCAAGCTACAGCTTCCAGAAAGTCAATTAAACAATGTCTGGAACTCGGAGGAAGTCTACATGCAAAATAAATTTGATGATGGAATGTGATCAAATACCTACTCTGTGTGCAATTATACGGTTATGACTAGTGATTGAGGTTGACTCTCTGATCAAATAACTAAATGACGATGAGATGGTACAGACATACCGTAGTTGGGCGGTTCTATTTGATTAAGTAATTAAACTAAGTTGGTAGAAGCGATCCCGACCAGTATCTAGTTTTTAACGTTTCCCTAATAATATATAAAACCAGGAAGATCACTGAAATATCACTGATAAACCACACTACGTGCTGCATGTCGTGTTGGAAATTCTTGCTGAGTAGATCTTACTTTAACACATGTACTGTCATAAGGACTACTGTCACGTCATCTCACTATATTTAAAGCAAGACGATATATGGATCCGTACCATTTTACTCCAAATTAGGCCGAATTTAGCCAAATTCCCCGAACATGCCCCATACCCATATCTTATGTGCTCTACTTGTAGCTATGTGTCACCTGAACTCGTATACTCGTATATGAAATTCCATCAAGATTGGACAAAAAATGACTGAGTTATGAGCAAAAAACCACATGCCCATATTTGGTCATACGCAACAAATTTGGTAGATTTCGTCCCATAAATTGGGCAAATATCAATATTTTGAACGAAACTTACTTTATATGAAAGGTAAGCATAAACTACGTATTCTCTGTAAGTTATAGCTTTATATCTGTTTAAATGTGGATACTAAGGCGAAAAAAAAACATACAAAATGAACTAAATTGCCCGTATCTTGGTTCGCGATATTCGCGGAATTGATCTCATTAAAATTGTAACAACTCAATCAGTCTTCAAAATTTTTGCATGAAATTTTCGGAATCGACTCGAAATCGCATTTCCACTTTATTTTAAATACGGATTTTTGATTTACGTAGGCCTCAAAAAAAATTGGCGGCCAAATTCTGAATTTTTGTGAGAAAATTTTGGACACTTAGGCCTCATTATCACCGATAAGGGCCCTGTATAATAGAAATCAAGAGCACTATCAGATTTTAGTCAGGTAAATAAAGGTAATGTGTACACATTTCTACCGTAATACAAACAAACCGCAACGTCGAATATTATACTGTCTACAGCTGGTGATGGCAACAAGTTAAGTGTATTGAATTTAATGGTCAACATGAAAATTTACTTATACTGGTTCATTCTTTTGTTTTATAAAACGCTATAAATAGCGATAATCAACTTCAGTAGAGAACTTGTAAAATACCGGTTTAAATATTGATCGCCTAGAAATGGAATAAAAACAATTCGGTTGCAAGGTTTAAATACTGTTGACACGTTTGGTTCTTTAAAACTTGGATTTGTCACCGCCCATATTTCCGTTCACATTGTGTGCAACTTTTCATTAAGTGGTGAAGAAATCATTAAAATCATTTGTCGCCATTTGTCGCCCAAATTTATTGAAAGACTCAAAAATAACCAATTAAGGACCACGAGAGAACACATGCACAAAACATAACGACTATGAA